TGCTGAAGAGTCAATGAGTCGATGCAATCAGCTGGCTTTCAGACTACTTGGATGTAAAATAATTGCCATCATGGCTTTGTTAAGCTGCTGTCTACCTTTGGGAAGCAGAAAAAAGACTAAAATAAAGTGAATCCATTAGAAGTTTTTATTTCCTACCTGGAATGGGTGACAATAGATGAAGAAACTTTTGGCTCTCAAAATAGTATTGGTGCCCTAATTGTTGGTACTCGCCAATAGCCATACTACCCTAACCCTAACCCTTTTAGTGCTGAATCAGGGCCCCGCCTGATACTGATATCAGTATCGGTGCAACACTAATAGACAGGAATTTATTTTTAACAGGACTGAAATCATTTACCTGAGAGATTCTAGTTTGCAGTTTGGACTCTTCAGTCCATCAGATAGAAGCTCTACTCCTGAATCCTGCAGGTTGTTGTTACTCAGGTCCAGTTCTCTGAGACTGGAGGACTGGGAGCTGAGAACTGAGGACAGAGCTGCACAGCTTCTCTCTGAGAGGAAACAGTGACTCAACCTGAAGAAAATGAGAAAATGTGTTATTAAACATTCAATGGAAGAGGGAGGGAAGTCCATGAGCAAAGTTTATCCAAGGTCTTGAATCTGCACATGCATAGCAGCTGTTATAGTGGGTATATCACTGTGACATCATGACTGGCCTTACACTTTAACTGTAGTTGTATACCTAGAACTGTCGATGTCTGAGCACAAACTGATCAAATGAAATCCATCAGACTGGTTAAAAAGTTCATGCACAGTGATCAGCACCAAGGTGTAAGTTACCTTTTTTCTGTGACTGTTTGCCAGCCAGTGTTTTACAGTGGCCCAAAGCACATGGTTCAGGGAAGAGCCACTACAAGCAACGAATTGGAGAATCCCAACCATCAGTCCTTCATACCCCCTCTATAAAACATCTAACATGAACTTACTCTCAAATGTACTCATTCCTGATCCTTTCCATCCTCGTCACTCTTTACCTCCTGCTCTGCCTCCTGTATTTTCCTCAGTTCCACTTTCTCTACACCATGCAACTCTGGTGATCTTACCACCCTCTTGTACAACTTTCCTTACATTGTAGCTGATGTTAAAGATAGGCTCTCTGTGTTTACACCTTGAATCTCAATCTTTCCGGGTTTTTTTCCTGAAAAGAGGTCACTCGGGACAAACTCTTTAAATAATGCTTCATAGCTTATATAATTAAATAACCAGCAGACATGACAACAGATTCTGTAATCTTACTCAGATCAGAGAAATAGTTTAGAGTTTACAGAAGGCAGCTGTTCACCTCACAGAAAGTGGCCCGATTAACAGTTAAAGAGGCATTTTATACATCACCAGCCTGC